CACAGGAATAAAAATTCATTTTCTTGTCCAGAAATGCCTGATGAGGAGATGTGGAACCACTGAGGGACCCCTGGAAGGGCTCTCTGGAGCCCTCCGGAGTGCCCCGTGGTGCCAGGCTGCTGCTCTTTGGAGGAAGGGGCAGGAGAGCTTGTCTGGGTATCTAAATTAATGCAGTTCCTTCTCATTCCCACAGGAATAAAAATTCATTTTCTTGTCCAGAAATGCCTGATGAGGAGATGTGGAACCACTGAGGGACCCCTGGAAGGGCTCTCTGGAGCCCTCCGGAGCACCCCGTGGTGCCAGGCTGCTGTCCTTTGGAGGAAGGGGCAGGAGAAAGTCCATGCAGGGAGCTTGGCCGGGTATCTAAATTAATGCAGTTCCTCCTCGTTTCCTCCTCCTCTCCTTCCCCAGGCTCAACCCCACTTTGAGAGCAGGACAGGAGGCGAGTGGCAGCCCTGGTGTGGCCAGAGCAGGGGCAGAGCCCACCGCAGGGCATCCCTGGCTCGGCAGCAGCTGCTCTCCATCACCAGACATCCCCAAGCACTGCCACACTGCAGCCATGGAGCAGGTTTGGGATTATTTCTCTTACCCTGCTGAGCCCAGATGGTTCCTCGCAGCCGGCTCAGCTCTGGGTCCAGCCCCGGTGTTGCCGGCGCGGTGGGGCCAGGTGTCTGCTGGTCCTCATCCTCCTGCCTACGCTGCTGGGGCAACATTTATAAGCTCGCCCCTGCCAAAAATCTGAAAAAGGTGGGGCGAAGGGTGGCCTGCGCCAGCCCGGGGCTCCCGGTGTGGATGGTCTGACAACAAGCGGTCGAACAAGTTCTTCCTCTGAACGCCCTGGCGCGCAGCAAGGCACAGACCCAAACAGCCTCCCTGTCCTTCAGTCGCGTGTTTCACAACCTTCGCCGGCTTCACCCCTTTGTGGACGTGTTGAGCCACACTGGAACCTGCCCCGAGCTCACCCGTGGCCTGAAGACTTGTCTGAAGTGCACCTTGCTGCTGTCCTGCACCAGTGTGTGAAGGGGCAGAGAGGGAATGGAGTCACAAGTGCCGTGGTGATGGAGATGCGGTGATTTCTCCTGCTGGGCAGTATTCAGGAGGGAAAACCCTGCCCCATGTCCCCACTACACCCAGTCCTGCCGCTTGGGCTCTGCCTGGAGCAGGGCTGTGGGGCTTGTGTATTTATGAAAAGGTTGGGCAATAAATAAGCAGTTTCCTGGTGGCAGATACAGTCCCACAGCTGTATCCCGAGACATCAACAGCCTCCAGCACAATAGCCAAGGACAATGTTCTGGGTGGCAGCACTAGGATGGGACCGTGGTCTTGCAGCACCTTGGCAGAGCCTTTTCTGTGCCTTGGAAAGCCCCCAGATCCCACTGAATTCCCTGAGAGCTTCTGCCTTGCAAGGATGCAGGGCACTGAGGACCGAAGATCAGCGCTATCTTACCTCTTTAAGAGGCAATTTGTCTTGGCTGTTGCCGAGTTTATACTGGCATGCTTAACCTCTAACTAGGAAAATAAAAATAGGGTTTGGTATGTCAGCCTTGGGAAGTTGCTAACCTCACTCCAACACCTCCTACTTTCTCTTTCACAGCTCTGATATTGCTGTTTCTTTCCTTCCCGAGACACTTCCCATCCCAGGACCCCCGGCAGTACAGCTACATATAGGCTACATATGTTCAGTCCCACTCAGGGTTCAGCCACACATGCAGGAGAGCGTTGCATCTTTCCCTCCGAACTGTGTTTGGATGTGGGGCAGAGCTCTGCAGGCATTTGCCATGCCCATCAGTAAAGAAAGGAAATGCAGGATACACTCCAGGGGAGATTCCTGGAGCTGAATCCAGGCACCCGGTTAAAGCTCCTCTTGTGGCTCCTGGAGCCGGGGCTGAGGCTGGACATTAGGAAAAATGCAGTAGACTCTGTAGCTCTGATTTCAGGTCCTAACTCTGCCACGGCCCAGTGGAAATTTTGTCCCTTTTGTGAATTCAGCTCACAGCCCTGTCTCCCCCGGTGCCTGGCACAGGCGGCAGCGCTTTCCTCGCCAGAGATTGTGAGGAAGGAACATCCGTGGCATTGAAATGAAGCCTCTGAAGCCAGTCCTTTATCAATGGTCCCGGGAGAGACACAGCCCACGTGGGTCTCGAGTAACCCGTTGGGACTGTATCATCGCTCTAAATGCCTCCTCAAGGGGATTCTTTAAAGCATCCCCAGGTCCATCCACCTCCTAAAGACACCACCGCTCGCCGGGGCTGAAACGCAGCCTGGCAGCAGCCCCGAACCCACGCACCAACCGGAGCTCCCCGACTCGAGGTAGAAGGCGAAAGGGAACTTACTGCGCTCAGCTGGGTCTCATTCTGTTCCCTGCGCCGGGCACCACCAAGCCTCTGCCAACTGACAGGCAGCTTAAATATTGCCAGAGAATCGGGATTTGCCAGCGGAGCTGTTAACGGTGTCACAAGGAATGAGAAGGAATATTTATAGTCAAAGTTAAACTAATGGCCCGAAGTTACTCTTTCGGTCTCCCGTGGCTCTGGTGAGAAGTGTATTATTTTCACTATCAGGGCTCATGGGTCAAACTCCACAGAGTGCCATTCTCTTAAGCAATCTGCGCAGCTAGAGAAGGGATAAGTAACAATAAAAAAAATCCGTGCTGATGTCCCCTCAAACTGACAGCCTGCGACACAGGGGGGAGCTGACAGCTTGTCCTGTCTCTAAGTTTGTGCCTAAAGCCTTACAAAGAGCAGGGTTCATCCGTGGGCTGGGGTTCATAACTCATTTCTAAGCCTGTAGGTTAATCCTAGAATCGGGTTCCCTTCTGGGACCAGGCTGGAGATTTTGACTTCAGCATCGTCTGTCTGAAAACCCTGATAAACACGGTCAAATAACAGGCAGAGAATGATGGTGAAGAGAGACCTTCCAGCACAAGGAGAAACTGGCAGGAGGCAGCTCGTGTATCTCTGAAACTGGGGTGCAGCACTACTGAGAACCCCAGTGTCTCTTACTGGGCAGGTAAGGTCCAGTACGGGCACTGTCCTTACACAAGCCTTACCCATGTCCCGATGGTGGAGTTACCAACCCAAATTTTACTGTCTGTGGTCCCCTAAGGGCATGTTTTACTGGTGAGTCCTCAGCTCTTCCGTGACACCTGGGTGAAAGTCTCTGCCGAAGCAGGGCAGCCCCCAGGGAACGCCGGTCCCGCGTCGCCAGCCGGGCATGAGCAGCATCTCTTTAGTGCAGGTGCTGCTTTTCTCTCTCTCTCTCACTAATCATTTAGTGTTGCAACTAACTGCACTGCTTTTTGCCAAAGGTTTTGTGAAACTTACCCCTTCTCTGATAATCTCAGCTGCCAGAATCAGAAGCTCAGCTCTCACCTTCACTTTTTGAGTTTTCTAGTCCAAGAAACCAGGAAGCAAAGTAGGAAAAAAAAATTAGGATCTGTATTTTATCTCATTGTTTCACACTCAGCTCGCAATCCTTACGGGCATAACTAAAGGTTTTTGAGTCTTGGAATCGGAGATACTTTAATTTGGTCTGATGGAATTTGGAAAACCCAGATTTTCCTAAACTGTGTTAGATCAATGCAGATCCTCGAGAGCTTCCAATTCAGCATCCAGGTGCTTTGTGGCCGCCTCCCACTCTCTGCCAATTTTCCCTGACTTCCAGCCCTTCCAGTCTGAAGCTGAGATTTCTGTTTGTCTCTTCAGCATTGTTCATGGCACCTTCAAACCATTATCAAGATACTTAGAGGGAGGGTTCACATGTGGTTCCAGTTTGGCTTGCAGATGCCAACCTGGTACTATTTTATCCCAGGGAGCTGTAATCTTGTCCTCACCGTGACTTTATTAAAACTGCTCATTTTCTTTTTGATGTTTTTTTTCCCCCCGTTTCTTGCAGGAAAGAGTGAAAATCCTTAAACAATCCGAACTTTGGAATGTGACCTGGGATTGTCACGGCCGCTGTTTCCCTGTCTCTGTCGGAGGATGGAAGTGGCACCCCGTGGAGCAGGAGCCACGCCGCAGCTGCATTCCCTGCACTGACCCCGGGCTGCTGCCTGAGTTATTATTTCCTTTCCAAGGACAGGCTTTCCTGTGAGGACGATCCCATGATCCAGGCTGACGCAGGCATTCTGTTAAGGCTGGGCTGGACAAGGCTAAAAGGAGAGCGTCCAGCCAGCGCGCTGATCCTGGGGACAAATTACCTAGTGTTTGCAGCTATCAAGAAACAACAAAACCAACCAGTGTGTGCGTGGTGAGTGATGCTGGTTCTCGTTGTGTCCCATGCTGCAAAGGAGGCTCTGGGTCATCGTTTCTGGGGAGGTTTATGGACCTCAGCCTGGGCTGTGCGGTGGGAGGTCCGACAGCCGCGCTGGGTGGCTCGAGATCCCTGGGGCTGCAGAAGAGCCAGGCTTGGTTGGCCAGGATGGCTAAAGAAACATCAGGAGGGGCTCAAGCACTTTCAATGCACATGGCCAACGAGGGACTTCTACCCGTAACATTTTCATTAGCTGTTTTACAGTTGCCGGTGCCGTGGCCTCCAGAGAGGACTCAGTGATTGAGCAGGCGGCTGTAAACAAGCTAAACTACAACCAGGAAATCTGATATGAAGCCGGTCCCTATCTATCTGCTGTTAGTGTAAAGGGAGATAAATTGCTCCGGGGACATAAACTCAACCTCAGCCAAGAATTCCTTTTCAGAGGGAAACAATTCACTGGCTCATACACTCACTAGATGTTTTCTTCTGAAGGTTGCAGAAAAAATCCATACTATTTTAAGAATTTGCTGCTCATATTCATCACGCTAGCCTGAATGCTGATAGCAAAGCAGGTTTTTCACCATTATGCAGTTATTTTCCCCATACCAGCCCAAACCCAGATCCTGTATCTCTCTCCTGTTGGTGTAAGGGGCCAATATTAAGTGCAGAGAAGTGCCAGATGCAGAATTCCTCACACCCTCACCTGCAGCTGTTGCAAGAAGCAATTTTTGACGGACCACAGAGGTATATGCAGTCAGGAGGCAGAAGGCAGTAGCTTTATTTTAGGAATAGCACATAGGCATTGGGTAGAGGCTGAACTGTGAATATACATAGTCCCATTATCAAATAATATCACCATGTCAGAAGTTCTGGTTCTTTGAAAATATTCACATAAAAATACCAAAGGGATTGGACTTCTAACTATTTTGGAAAGTTACAACATGTAGCAAAATCTATGTACAGCATTTTCACATTTGTAACGACAGTTTCAGAAGAACCTCCAGTGGTTTAAATATGTTTTTAAAAAAAAAAAAAAAAAAAAAAAAGAAAGAAAAGATCAACTGAATGCAGTGTGCAACATCCAGAAGGGAAAGAGGAGCTGAGTGAGCACTGCCCTGTCAGAGGAGAGGCAGAGACAGACGGGGCTGGACCTCTGGGAACACAAGGCTAGAAACTACCTGGCACTTAAAGCTGTATAAACTGAGAACACTTGTGAAAATATACTTCACTTTCTACAGCAGGGTTTAAAAAAATACTGAAAACCGAAGATCTGGTGGTCATAAGGTCTCCCATGAATAATGCACCAGTTGGTGATTCCCAAGGTGAGCAGGGGCTGCAGTGGGAGCTCTTGCTCTGGCAACAGACGGGAGGGAGGTTACCTACGCTACGGCTGGCTGGAGCGCTTCCACGGGAGGGGATGTCAGGTTTGAAAGGCAATGGATGCATTTTGCCTCACAACATTAACGCACTGTAGGTTTGCTGCTGTAAAGCTCTGAGGGCACTGTGTGGCCCGGCGGGGCATGCACTGAGCACGGGATGCCGCTAGCCCTTTCATCCCCGGGGGGATGTTTCCGAAGGAATCAAGTCACCCAAGTAACAACCAGACGCTGTTGAAAGATGGACGTGCATGCTTCTAGAGTTCCCTGGGTATGTTCAGCATGAACGACGGGTCAAATCACAAAGTAAAGGGACTCTCAGGACTCCATCCCTCAGGAGAGCATAAAGGAGGGCAGGGGATGTATTTCTCGGAGGTCTCTGCCCTGCCTCAGAGGTGGTACCCGGGGCTGCAGAGGACTCCCACTCATTTTTAGGCTACCAGGGGCTTTGTACTTTCCAAGGAGGCACCAAAATGCTCAGGGGTTTATGTCTCCTGGTGAGTTTAAATAAGTCTAGTGCTGATGATGTTAAACTCTTGGGAAGATTTCAAGACCTGTCAGTCTCTGCCACACCTTTAAGCAAAGCTGACGGCCAGGAAGGACTCTGGGCTTTCCTTCCTCTCCAGTGCAGCTGGGTGGAACCAAACTGGATCCGTATTTGGGACCACACAGAGGAACCAGAAGGGTTCTGCAAGGTCATATTGCTTTCTGTTGCCACTGGCCGGTAATGGCAGGGGATTAAAGCCTCTGGGCCACCCCTGTCGATCTCAGCTCCACTGTTATGGTCTCCTCAGTTGGAGCTCCAGCCGCTGCAAGGCAGCTCAAGGGCAGAAGGGCTTGGAGAGGGATTTGAGAGGAGCTCAGCAGCTTTGCTCCTCAGGGTTCCGGGGGAGCAGGCACTGGTGGCAGCCCTCATCTCCCCACACTCCTTTCCCTGTCTGACCTGCTCTGGCTCCCCAAGGAGTCGGTGGCCAGGCTCTAACCCTGTCCCCGAGGCTGGCAAGGGTGAGCCTGCCTGCCTGGGGAAGCTGTATCCCGTGAGGGCTGACTCCTTGCACAGCCATGCTCAGACACTGGCCGTGGGGACATGGGGAAGGTCTCCAGCGACTGCTGGTGCCAGTTATACATGTTGTGGAAACACGGGAGAGCGGGGTTTTACCCAGATGTGTCTGAAATCCTTGACTCAGTAGTACACTAGAAATGGAGGATGCTAAGGAAGCTGTTGTCAAGACCAGCATGGTGTTTACCTCCTTGTCCCTGTGTCTCACCCTCGCATCCATCCACCACCTGTGGTGCCTTTTCAGTGTCTATACTTCCCCGACCCCTCGGTCCGTGGTTCTGCTTGGTGGTAGCAGGTGACAGCAGCGTATTTACAACCAAACTCAACAGGAGCAAATTGCACTTTGTTGGCAATAAATTGTTGCACCTTGCATTGCTGCAGGCCCGTCACCAGGCAAGGGGGGAGGTCATCCTGGGGCTGCGCTGGCTCTCGCCGACCTGCACATCGCTGAGTGCCCGCTGCAGGGAAAGAGCAAAGAGCAGGAGCTGAGGGTCAGGTGAGGGCAGGATAGGGAGGATGTTTCAATGGCACTGGCCACTGCAGACTTAATTTTCTCCCAGCTTCATACTGGACAAGCCCTGACAGTCAGCGCATCTGCTTTGAGATGCTCCAACCCAGCCTTCGTTAACCAAGAACATCAGGTCATGGCAACATCTGCTTTACTCTCCATAGGGCTGGTGCTTGGACCATCAACCCTCCCGACCTCAGCCTCCCGTGACAGCCAGCCAGCCAACTTGCACAAGTTGGCTAGAAAAATTGGTTGGTTACAAAAATTGCATTTTACAGACACTCACACATGCTCACACAAAGCTCATCTTGTTCCCACAGCTCACATGAAAGTAAAGCCTTTGCTGACATCTAACAGGAAACCCCTTGCTGGTTGGCTTTGGAAAGTGCAGCTCACCTCAAACTTGCTCATGAATTCTGCAAAAATGCCAAAGAAGGCTTCAGAAGTTGTCATTTTTGAGTCTTCCCCAAAGAAGGACAACACCTTGCTGAATTCCTCCATGGCCTTGTGCTGCAGGTCGTCCAGGGATCGCATGGCAGGCTGGGCACTCTCCAGGAAGGACTGGGAGAAATGGTTTAAGGGAAAACAGCTGCACTGTGGGTCTGGTACAGATCATAACCACTTCTGCTTATCAAATGGCTGGGTTTCATCTCAGGTCAAAGAAAGGACCGGCTGCAAATGCAGGCTGTGGCCACACGCAAAGGGAGCCTGCTGGCATGCTCAGCTGTCCCTAACAGCACTTCTCTGGAAGGAAAGACAGCTCAGAAAGCTTTCTGGCCTTGTGGCACTGGGTTTCTGCCACACAGAGGCATGAGAACCAGTGATAACTACAAAAGCTGTTTCCTCTGCTGGCTAAGAGTGAGTGGAGGGTGGAGGTTTCCATCACGCTCACACCAAATGCTGAGATGGTCCTTTCCTACCAGCCAGACACAGCCCTGCTGCTTACCAAGGAGGCACAAAGACAACCAGGTGGTTTTACTTGAGGGCAGTCAAGTCACATTGATGTTTTGCCCCTTTTACAGAAGGATACGGTCATCACAATTGCAAATCTGTCCTCTGCAGTAGCTGGCATGTTGTGACAGGCCATCTGTATGTCACTGACGGTGGTGTGCAGGTCCTTTAGGTCAGCCGTTAGCGTTCTTTGATTCACTGCAGGAGAAGAGAGGAGTCAACAGTGTGAGGAGACTTAGGTCTGGCTTGCTTCCTGCAGCAAAGTGAGGGCAAAGAGCCGGGGTCATCAGTCAGGGTGGTTCAGGATGTCTGTCTACATAGCTCTGCACAACCTGTCCGTGTTGTCCAGGGCGTGGTGGACAACCAGACCTTCCTGCTGGGCTCCAGTGCTCAGGCGAAGAGATGCCAAGAGCTTCAAAAAGAGCCTGGAACACGCCAAGTGCAAGGAGCATGCAGGACTCAGCGGCACGAGGGCAGTGATGGATGCACAGGGGGCAGACAGAGGGAGTGTACAGGACGGTGGAACAAGGGGTGATATCCAGGCTGCCCTCCGTGGCATCTCATCGTAGCACCAGCATTCAGGAGAGTGATGAGCAGTTCAGAATCCTGGCTGTCTTGGACGGCCAGTCCTTAGCTCTTCTACAGGCAAGAGAGAGGGTGAACTGTAGCATGTCAGGGGAGCTTGGGTTATGTGCTGCAGCTGTGTCACTCTGTGGCCTGTACGACAGTGAAACTGGGCAACCCTGGGTGGCACATGGTCTGAAATTGGGTATTAATTGGCAGGAGTCTGGGCAGCAGGGAGCCTTCAGGGATAAAAGGGCAACCCTGGGTGGCACATGGTCTGAAATTAATTGGCAGGAGTTTGGGCAGCAGGGAGCCTTCAGGGACAAAAATCTTATTTAACAGTTAGATACAAAATCCAGCTAGGAACACTACAGGTATAGACCTTCATCAAGTGGAAATTTACATCTCCAGGCCTGAATCTTCTCCTTTATTTATCCACTGTAGCATTAATTCCCAAGGGAATTACTCTTAAACAGGAGGGGATGGTGTGCAAGGAGAATGCAGCCCATGCTCCGCGTGCAGCCAGCCTGTCGTGCTCCCACCAGCACAAGTGGATGGATGATAACCCCAATATCTAGGTGACTTTATTTCTTTTTTATTGCAGCCAATGAAGCTGTACGATCCTCAGTCAGCACGACGGCGACTGGACTGTGAACTCATCACACGAAGGGTGCTGTACACTCTGTACCACAGGTGATTGCAGGCAGTAATAATGCTGGCACCCGTGCTGGGGAGGCTGCACACCAGAGATGAAAGGAGGCAGAGGCTGGGTGGAGCAGACCAGCTCCTAGTACTTCCCTCTGCTTGGACTCACATGCACTTCCAAGATACCTCTGAACTTGGGAACCACCTTTTCCAAGTCAGAAGGAAGGTTCAGGTCGGGGACAGATAGGACCTCCCCTGTCACTAAGCTCATCCCTTCCTAGTCCCATCCTCTCACTCAGGACCGTTCCTCTTGTGTGGGCTGCCATCCTGCTCCTGCCAACACCGTACAAAACCGAGAGGCAGTGCAAGGAGACAAGGAGCTTGCAGATGCTTTTGTTCGTTTACCTTTGGCAGCGAGCGGCACTGTAGGAAGATCCTTGGCGAAGCCCAGGAGTTCTGGGAAATGTTGGCTAAGTGATTTGGCAAGAATGTGCAGGAAGGTGGATTTCCCATCAACAGTCTTGGTTGTGTTCAGCTACGGCAAAGCAAAACAAGTAAAGAGATTCCTGTGCAGAGGAGAGTGGGTTTTGCCAAGCACCCAAATGCACAGGGGCTCCTCTGTTCTCGGCTCCCTCTGCGCTCACGTGCGTGGCAATTCCCAGCCATGCTACATGGATTAATGTTTAAATGGCGCATTTAATGTTTACACAGTGTGTTACGCCCAGATTAGTGGCGTTGAGATGCTAAGCAATGCCTTCCTCCCGCAGGGCAGGGCTGTCACCCTGTCCCCCACCCCTCAGGAGTCCTGCAGCAACTCCCATGGGATAAAAGACCTTCATTTTCTCCCACCCCACAGCCAGAAGGTCCGGGTCTCAGGTCCCAGCACACGGAAGCACCAGACCACTGTTAGGGCCTCTCTAAAGTCAACCCTGCGCATCGATCCCTGCCCTCCCACCGGTCCCCGCTCTGTGAGCTGCTTGTACGAGGACAGGCACAATAATCCAGGCACTTGGAGCTCCTGGGGTTGGTGCCTCCTGCATGGGAACAAGCAGGCTTTGACTTACCTCGGTGAGAAAGTTGATTTTAAAGCCTGTTGTTTTGCTGGTCTTGGGCTGCCCGTTGTTCAGGTAGTTTCCCATCGCCAGCACAAACTGCAAAGAGAAGCCTCAGTGAATGACTGGCCAGTGACATCCAGCACTTACAGTGTCCCATCTCCTTTTGTACCTGCTTTTGGGTCACAGAGACCTATGGTGGGAAAGCACCTTTTTTGTGTCAGGTCACTTCTCCTAAGGGGCCCTGTGCATGTGCTCATACAGTATCGTTAATAAAACCTTATTGGTTCATTCAGTGGGTTAAATTAGGTGGATGAATATATGTGAGAGGCAGAATTTCTGCTGGTTCTGTACACGCTGTTCATCCTCTCACCCACACAGGGCAGCTACAGCACACTGGGAGGAGGAGGGCTGCTGATGTGCCCATCGGCACAATAGCCCCAAGGGACGGGGCCGTGGGTCCGAGGGACAGGCTGTTCTCTTCTCTGTGCTGCTCCTGCACAAAGCCTGCACTGAACCCTCAACAGCAAAGTCCATGTTTCAGCCAAAGGAACTGGTCCTGATCCACCACCTCTCCTGAACCCTCAACAGCAAAGTCCATGTTTCAGCTACAGGAACTGGTCCTGATCCACCACCTTTCCTGTGTCTTCAGCAAGGACTGGAAAACACACCCCGTTTGTCATCTGCAGACCCAAAATTCTACAGCCCTAATGAAAAACTCATATTCAGATGTTTCCCCACATGGTTTAAGTTGATGCTGCCCAGGAGTCCCCTTCCCTCTGCAGCCACCCAGAAGGTCTCTGCTGCTGAGGAGCTGCAGGGAGCCCACGGCGCCACTAACACCAGCTTGGCTCCTTTGCCACTTCCAGACGGATGATGCAGGTGCCTGAGCTTTGTTAATGTTTAAGAGGGGATTTTGTCTTGTGTTACAGCCTCAGGCTTTAGGTCTGCACCATTTTTATTTCTCAGTGGTTTTTCCTTGCAGGACCAGGGCTCAGTCTGCAGGACATGAACTCTCCTGCTGATTGACAAGTGCCTAAACACCCATCTTCCCAAAGCCTTTTGTAGCTATTATCTGCAGATCTCCAAGGGGATATTTTAACGGGAAAGCAGTGATCCAGCTGAGGCAGCTTTCTGCTCCAGAATGCTCCAATTCCTTGTGCTGCAGCTTTGCAGCCTCGGAGGCACAGCAGGACCTCAGACTGGGCTCACCTGAGTCCTGATGTCCCTCCTGGCAGGGACCTCAGAACTGCCTGGATTTCAGCTTGGGAGTCTCTGAATTTCTGATTCAGAGACTCCAGCCGTTAATGTGCAACCAGCCATTGACCCCCCTGGCAAGGACTTAACGAGGTGTTGGGGGGTTACTGGCCAGGAGCCACTAAGGAAGTTCATCTCTCATCTGGAAATGCCACTTGTCACATCATGTGCTCATTTATCCCACCTGCTTTTTTTTTTTTTAACAGCAAACCTGAATGAATTATCATTAATTGGGGGCAGCTCATCTCAGGAGGGTCAAAGAGCAGCTGCAGTGGGATTCGTTCTTTCCTGCAAGTGCAGTGCCCCTCTGCCAGGCACAGCCTGTCCCCAGGACCTTCAAAACTCCTCCCCAGAGGTGCAGGCAGCATGTGGGACCCTTGCTGGCACCCCAGCAGGGCTAGCACAAGCCCACGGCCGTGCACGGAGCCCAACCTGCAGTGCTAGACACATGTGGACATGCACACAGTGACCACCTGGACAAACCCCACATCCTCCAGCCCCATCGCAGCCAAAGGGCAACCTCGGTGGGCTCTGCTGTGTTACTGGGCAGGTTTCTGGTTCCTGCATCCCTGCCCTGCTGCATCCTCCCAGGGCCAGGATCTCCACAAGCCAAAACCTGCGGGAGCTGCCAGGGGATGGAGCCCGGCAGAGCTGGACCCGAAGGGTGGAGATGGGGCTGGAGATGCGGTCCGGCTGCCTGCAGGCGCTGCCGTGGACGCTGGGGGCCCCCGGTGGCTGTTACCAGAAGTAAGGACTGTTCTGACCTCCAAGATCTTAGCCAGCTTCTTGCTGCTTTTCAGCTCTAGAGAGGCCTTGCAGATGCACTCGTAGCTAGCTTTGATCTCCTCTGTCTTCTCCTGCAGAGTGGTCTTAAAATGTAGGCTGCGCAGACGGATCTTGTATTCTGGTACTGACAACATCTGAGAGCAAAAGGAGGAGAAAATTACCACTATCACCATTAGCCATAATCCCTCCTGTATTTTAAGGTGTTTTTCCTGACGTATTTCCCTGCACATGAAAGCAGTGTCCACTTGCTTAGCACAGGTGACACCGTGGAGCAGCTGCCGTAGGTCACAGAGCACGGCCAGTTTGCTGCCACAGGATGGGGAGGCTTCATGCCAAAATCTACCAGTGACTTTGTCAACAGAAAGTTAAGTCAGAGTTGGGACAAGTCACTCTTACCGTGGAGTAAACACCATGGTATGCTTTGGCTGTAAAACAGCCACCATGGGAGCTGCCAGACACCTCAGGCATCAGCCTGAGCATCGCTTGCCAGCAGTCCCTGTGACCAGTGCCACCAGCTCTTCCCGTCCCACAGCATGCACAAGGAGCCAACCAGCGTCCTGCTGACACCTTCCTCTCTGCTGTGTGTTCTCCTCCCCTCCAGCTCTCAGTAGGACACCCCGGGGACACCGCACATGCAGACCTCCTCACTCCCAGAGCATGTCCCTGCCCACAGGTACCTGCAGCACAAACTGGTCGGGCTCACTCAGTTTCCCTGGGTTCTCCTTGTAGCTCTGGAAGCGCTGGACTTCCTCCCCGTCCGGGGCGTACAGCAAGAGCTGCTTGATGTGGGAAGGTTCCAGGCGGTCCGTCTCCATCGTCATGAGGATCTGGCGCAGTTCGATGTGTGAGAGCTTGAGGTGGGCTATCAGGATGGCTGGGGGCAAGAGAGGTGCGTCACTTGGGAGGGGAGGAGGATGGGACCCCGGAGGGGCTGGCTGTGCCAGGAACAGGCCGCCTGGCAGGACGGGGCCAGGAGAGGAGCCTCAATCTCTCCATGGTGTGAGTGACATGGACTCCTCCATGTACCCATGCTGCCATGGGGAGAGGAAGGACTTTCTGCTCCCCCGAGGCCTTGCAGAAGCTGCTTGGAGGCTCCGAGGAGTCACTCTGGTCCTGCAGACCCCCCCAGGGTATTGCATCATTTTGCAAATACATCACGAAAGCATCAGGCTGGGCTGCACTGGAAACCACCCCCAGTGCCTCCTCCTCTCCCACGTCTCCCCCAGCCCGGAGACCAGGGGCTCGCAAGGTCCCACCAAGCCCTTCCATCCTCCTTCTTACCAGAAGCACATCCTGGAGAAGCAGCACTGGCCCTTCCCCAGTGGGCAGCAGGACGGTCCCGCACACCCTCGCTGCCCCACGGGGCCACGCAAGCTCTTCCCCTCTCCCTCCCCAGGCCAATGAGTCACATCCCATCTCCAACTTTTCCTGTAAAACCTTCTTCTTCCCCCTGCCCAGAGCTGAGCCCAGCAGGGCTGGGTTCCTGGGCTGCAGGAACAGCCCAGACCAGCAGAGCTGTGCTGGGATTGCGCTCATGGGATCGTGCTCATGAAGCCTCCTTCCTTTTACCTTTCCAGTTCTCTACATCCCCGGTCCCATCTCTGGACCCATTTTGGGGGTACATTCACCACGGTGTTTACTTACATGTGTTGTAGGCCTTTTTGTGGGACAAAATTTCAACCACGTCTTTCTTTTTAAAGTTTTCAGGCAAGAGAGTTGGCTCTGGAAGAGAAACTGAAAGATTTAATCATGGGTAAGGACAGGCTCAACCGGCTCCAGCGGGAAGAAAACTGTCCTGAAAACAGTGAAACCATGAATGAAAGAGAGGAGAACTGATGCTTTGCACACAGCAATGGCTCCGGGAATCCTTGAATTCTGCGATTCAAAGATCTCCTCAATGGAGGACTCAGTTGGAGCTGAAAAAGGTAAAACGAGAGGTGAAACACACAGAAAATCCCAGACTGCCCAGAAACATCCCCAAAAAAGATAGTCCCTGAGAAGAATCCCATCTCATTCCACTTCCTCTACCAGTCCCATCTGTATCTGCCCACTCTAGCTTAGTTCTGCCCACACTGCCATCACCCATCAGACCCTACATGTTGGTTTTGGGGGTTTATATTTATGTATAAATATATAAATTATTATATATTTTAAAAGAAAAGTGTTGATTGTAATGCTCTCTATGGACAGAGAAATGTTTTCACGGCTTTTTCAGGGCTGAGTTCTCAAAGCAACAGAGCTGCAATCCTAATTTGCAGCCGTTACTGCTTCTGCAGCACAACCCGGTGTCCGTGCGTGCCGACGGCCGGGCTGACAGTCCGTACCGCACAGACTGTGACAAGCAGAGGCCGTGCACAAATCGTGACACGTGGTGGAGGTCTGAGCTTCTGCTGTGTCGCAAACCAGGTCCCTCGTGGCACTGGGGAGTGGTGGTGGCACCCCGGTGTTCCCCAGGGAGTGGGGACGGCCGGGCAGGTGCCATGGGAGCCAGGAAGCAGCAGTGAGCACAACGGGGAGAGAAACCCTCCAGCAGAGTTTCACTGCCCTGATGGACCAAAATGAGGGGAGAAAACAGGTTAACGGCAGCGAGGAAAATTAAGGGAGATAGTGAAACCATCTCCACCTTAATGATCTGCTGTGCCACCAGCCACAAAATCCCGAATATGAATGAATTCTGTGCCGCAAGTGATGCTAGGACCAGGCATCGCCTTGCTGCCCAACAAGTCCCAGTTCCTCCCAGCACCCCGGTCTCTGGCCAGTACCAGGACCTGCTCTGGGGCTCAGGTACTTACTTGTAGGCTTTTGCGTCCCAAAGTGCAGCTCCAGGTCGAGGTATTTGACCATATCACTCAGCTTGTCATAATCAGAATCTTCCCCGAGCTGCAGGAGGAGGAAGAGTCAGGAGCTGTGCTGGCCCAGGGGACAGCCCAACACTGCCCACCCACACTGGGCCACCTTCCCTCCACCCCACGCTAAGCTCTGCGTCCCTGGAATTAACAAGGATGGGTTGATGGCACTGCCCTGTAACTGGAGACTCAGCCATCATAAACCCTGTGCAGAAACCAGAGCCTGGTAAACCGTTCCCCTCTGTGGAGGCAGTTCCTACACAAGTCGCAGCCATCATAAACCCTGTGCAGAAACCAGAACCTGGTAAACCATTCACCTCTGTGGAGGCAGTTCCTACACGTGTCACTAAGCCTATCTGGTGGGACCTGTTCTCATTTCAGAAGAAAGGAAGAAACCTAGAGATTCACCCCGTCAGCATTTCCTTGCACCCTGCAGCTGGTGGCTCTGCCCCATGGATTCATTCAGCTGGAATCCCACAGAGCACCACTGCTCTTCACTTGCTATGTAGACCCGCTTGCTTTACTGAAGGACAAAGTGGGAATTCCAGAAACTTCAGGAATTTTTTGCACCCAAAAGAATCACTGTGAAGAAGCACCTTGTTCTCTGGAGTGCCAGGGAGAGGGACCTGCGAGATTTCAAGTGCTTGCCTGACAGGACTGGAAGATGATCCCACAGCTCCCTTCTAGCTGCTCAGGGCATGAAGAATAAGGCACAAATGAACACATTCATCACCATGAGAAACAGAGAGGCTGGAAGTTAAACTCCAAGGAGGCCAGCTTCTGCCTACAGCGACTTGAATCCACCTCCAGAGTTCTGCATCCCTTCAGGTCCTATGATGCCAAATGATTATCACATCTAGTCTCACTCCTCACCTCTGCTTTCCCCCTCTGGTGTCCTCCCCTACCTTGGTGTGCTCCCTATCACTTTGCTTTCAATCATCCTCACAGTTTCCCACTGATAAAACCTCCTACAGCTGCAGAATGCATCTGGAGGCAGGTCCTGAACTACATCAACCCACAAAGAGCAGGACAGCAAGTGCTACCCAGGATGCTGTGGTCAAAACCAGCATTTCAGATGCTTTCCAGAGACTCTTCTCATCCCAGCTGTTCTGTCCAAACAATTAAAAGGATGAAAAGAAATATGAGACTTTCCTTGGCCAAGGAATTGAATGTGTAGCCCACCAAGAGGTTAGAACCTGATGCTCCAGGGAAGGTACAGCCCCCCCCAGCACTCTGGGCAGCGAGGGGGGCAGTGCCCATGGATGCTCCCACCTGAGCAACTGCTCCCCAGGCTGTGGTTTGGACCCTCGCTGGGGGGGGGATGTGGTCCGAGAGGGTGGAGTAGGTCAGGGAGCTGCCCTCGTCACTGCTGCTGATGTACTCGCTGCTGCTGACGTCGTTGGTGACATAGCTGCCCTGGTCATCATGGACACCCCCCACCTTGCTCCCCACTCCTGGGCCATACCTGCCCCCAGATGGTCCCTTCCGAGTTCTCCACCTGCTCCCACCGCAGCCTCTTGACGCTCATGTGGTTGGATTCGCTCCGGCGGTTGGGCAGCGAGGGGGGCAGTGCCCATGGATGGTCCCACCTGAGTAACTGCTCCCCAGGCTGCAGTTTGGACCCTCACCCCCCACCTTGCTCCCCACTCCTGGGCCATACCTGCCCCCAGATGGTCCCTTCCGAGTTCTCCACCTGCTCCCACCGCAGCCTCTTGACGCTCATGTGGTTGGATTCGCTCCGGCGGTGCAGCAGCCCCCGGTGCAGGGGGGGAGCACAGG